AATCTTTGATGCAATTCATTCAATATAGATATCGGATTTGGAGTTACTAATTGAATATTGTTATTATTATTGTTATTGCTATTGTTATTGTTATTGTTAATTGATAATGATTGTTCTAATGGTGTCTGTGAGCTTGGTGTAATTCTCTTCATTAGAGAATCAAATACATCTCTTGCTTCCATTGACTCTTGCTTAACAGGAGCATGTTGAACCGACACATTTGAGAATGAATTCTTTGATTGTTGATCTTGAACTGCAGCGAAAAGTGGCTCGGCTCCTAAATCTTGCAATAGGATATCAACTTGATTATTAGTAACAGCAGAATTCATCGTGATAGTTGAAGGAGATTGATCCTTTCTTGGATTTGGGTTTAATAATAAATTTGAATTTGCTTGACCCGCAGAAACTTTAATATCTGCACTTGTTGAGGATGAAAGTTTTGTTTTTACTTTTGGCATAGTATAATTCTGTATGTTGGATTTTTTATTTTCCCTTATGGTCATGAATAAAAGAAATAATCCGATAGTCGGGAAGGAAAAAAAAAAAGTAGCAAAATCTGTCACACCACTGTTGTTTCTGTATTAAGTATGGGTCGATTGTTTATGATGAACAGCCACATTCATCATAAAAAGTATGTATGACGGTGTACTTGTTATATTGTATAAATATTTATTTATATAAATTGAAAATGCGTGACCTCTACGTAATTACGTGCACCTTAATTTTGATAAATAAATAAATAGCTATGGGACAAGGATTTATTGAATTTATTATTTATTACATTTTATATGTCGCGTACGTTGGTGAAAAGTTGTATTCGACGAAAATAATGAATAGTGAAATATAATTACTTAACAAATTAACTGATTTTTCGTCCCTTTGTTTTTTTTTTTTTTTGAATATTAAGAATTGTATATACTGTAATAATTTTCTATTTTTCCATATATTTTATTCGAAATCTAATTTAATGACCATGTTTTGCATGTTAATAGCTTTATAATGTATTATTAAAGTTCGCCACGAAAGTATTGGCGAATATTGGCACAAAAATGTTTTAAACATATACTGCGCGTCTCATTTACATATAAATATAGAAACTCTATCACAAAGAAAAATACAGTAAGTCCAAGGATAATAATAAACTAATTGAAGACAAAATAGGAAATTGGGAAAATTCTGTGCATGCATACATAGCATAAATATGTAGCATACATTATCAAAGTCTCACGAATTCTTAGATGAGCGAAATTGATTTTGCTCTGTTAAGGAACGAGGTTCATTGGCTGAATGCTACTCTCAACTACGAAATTCATACAATATCAGATATACAACGTTTTATATAACGGTTATATGCAAAATGATGGAATTAATCTAGTCCGAACTAAATTATTACTCAGTAGTCTTGGCCTCCCGTGTGATTGGCCACTTGTTAAGCCAAGGGGTTTAAGCAAACCAGGAAAATCCTTATTTTTGTCTTACCTGATTTAGATTCAGGTGCCCTTTTTTTAAATATAAATATCGTGCAAATTGT